CTTCAGTTGTAAACATACTATCATATATTGTTACAACATGATCTACCATATCCAACACCAACAGATACCAATGTGAATTATGGTAGTTTATTGTGATCATGATCTGCAACAAATTTCACACCCCAATTTGACAAATTCAACATTCTATATCCGAAAACATCATTGCAATTGGTATGGTGTCTTACCTTCTCACAGTCGGTGAATTTCACATAGTTATCCAATATGACACCCCAGAAGGTAGAAATACTCTCAACACTTTCTTTGTTGTTGGCTTCCAACGCCTGTTGCTGTAATTACGCAACAAACATTATTAATTTACCGTCTATAATACTACTTTTCAATATTTATTAATTTAACTCACCACTAAGAGGTATGGAAGGTAGCCAATCCTCCGGAGTGACTTTTGAAAATCGTAGCATATGGTCCAGGCGAGCAAATCGATAACCTAACAAAATTAATTACACAATCAGAACATATTCAATAAGTTTAACATTTCTACTTTCTACTTACCACACCGCCAACCCATTCCGTAGGCTTCAACGTTGCAACGTCGTATACAGTAGCGAATTGATTTCCCATTGAGATTACAGAATATCTGTATGAATCATTAGGATTAATATGTTGTCATGAAATATTTAAATATCACTCACAAAACAATATATTTCACTTACCCCGATTCTAACTCGCTATTCCATAAATAATCACAAATTGCAGCTTCGATGTCATCAATTCCGCTTGGAATATCCGCTTTTTCAACCTACAATTTTGCATACAAATTTTTGGTCACAACAACATAATAAAAATCAAATTAAGTATTCTTTTATTAAACTTACCTTCTGCTTCTTCTTCTGGGGTGCAGGACATTCCGATCCAAAACTGCTGCTATAACACTCTCCGGTGTATAAATGACATCGACTCCTTCCTCCTCATTTCTTCCATCTCTTCTTCCTCCTCCCTCTTTTCTCTTCATATTTTTTCAGTTCATCGTACTTTTTTTCTACATAGCTCTTCATCTCTTTTATTTCACCCTTCAATTGAGCTCCATCATCCGAGTATTTATCAACCACCCCCTTCACCCCGTAAGTTCACTCCTCAAATCCACAACCTCCTTCACCACTCCCTCAAATTTTCTCCCGTCACCATCTTAATATCACCCCTTAACACCCCAACTTCTTTCACCACTTCACCCCTCAACACCTCTACTTCTTTCACCACTCCATCTATTTTTCCTTCCACTACCCCCTTATGCCTCTCGAGTGTATCTTCGACTCTCTCGAGTTTCTCTACGACTTGATCAAGTTTCTCTTCGACTCTTGATTGTCTTTGCATGATTTCAAATTGGATTTTTTTGATATCAGCCAATTCAGACATCAAAATGTCGAAGTTACTCTATTTTGCTTCACCGTCGTCCGACTCACCGTCATCCCCCAATACAACCATCCCTCATTTCTTCTCCTCTGCCTCCTCTACATCCTTGCCAATAACCTTCAAAATTAAATTACAATAGTAAGACATTGATTATATTCTTAATATTATTTAATTACATTTATTACCATTTCTTGCTTCTTCCCTCTATCCAACTTCAACTTCACCATCACTCTAACCACCTCTTCCTTCCCCCATGCACGGATGCGTGCCACTCCGGTTCTTTCATAAGCCGGCACTGCCTCACAGCCCGACCAAAAATCGAACAGTGCAACCTGCATTTATAATAAAATTTATATTTTTATATAAAAACACAAAAAAGTGATTCAACTCATTTACCTCTAAGATTGCTATGCACCCTTTGAGGTATCTCTGGCTGCCCTTTTTAAAGGTGATGATTGATTCAATCAATCTCGAATGGATATATTCAGCCCAATTGAATTCACCCTTCAAGCCTTCATCGTAAATGAGCTTCATATATTCCTTGTTCGTTGACGTATCACCCGTTGGACAAAGAAATATCCCGACAAGGTACAATAGAACTCGGGCCTTCAGCTCATCCCCCCAGTAAGATCCACTTTTGATATCCTCTTCAACTTCAGCATATGTCACCTTATGATTCAAACCATATTTGGAGGCAAGTGCTTTCCAGTTCTTACTCCTACAGACTTCTATAACACTTTTGCCTTTGTTTTGTACCCCCAATACGGCTGCAGCAGTCGATACCCCCAGAGGGAATGAATAATCACCCTATTTAGCCATACATTGACTGACGTCAAATTGTGCCATCAAGGATCGACACAATTCCCTCCAAATAGGTCGATCCCTTACTCCGATCAACGATCCAAAACCTATTTCTCCCAGCACATTCAACTGACCCTTCTCCTTAAGGTGTTTAATTAATAAATTCACCCTTTTAATGTTGCATCTTGTCGACACTTCCTACATTTTTTAACAATATATAATGTTATAGTTCTTATATATTTTGTATCAACGTATTTACAAGTTTAATGAATACCTTATTTTCATGTGCTTTCCTCCGTTCTTTGTATTCTTTACTATCATTCCTTGACTGTGTGATGTAAGGTTTCTTTTCAGCATCACTCATTAAATTCCATTTGGACCTCACATCTTTTTTCACCTAATATTAAACATAAACGTTTCTTAATCAATACATTAACACTAAATACTAATACTACTAAATGTCAATTTCATTTTACATACCGAACCGCTCTGTGTGCCATCTCCCTTCATCCTTTTGCATTCGGCCATACTGTTAACATTTAAAATTTGTAATCAATTTAAAGTTTATCGATACTTTAATCCAATTACCATTTCAACAATAATAACAAAAAGACATTGATACTTACTAGAAGTACATATATCCACCCTTTGGTTGCTTTCGAGTCTCGACCTCAATTTCAAAGTCATCTGCTCCACCAATAATTTTCCAACCCATTGACTCCATTTTTCCTTCATATATCAGTTTACGCAAATCAAATTATTTTGTTACATACACTTTTCAATATACAAATATAGATAACTACTCTTGTGGTAAAACGGTTTTCTTCAAAAGAATTTGAATGGCCACACCAAAATGTGTCGGCACATTTATACAACCTATAATATCATTTTCTACCTATAATATTAATAAAAGTATCGACATTTATATTTTTCCTTGAATATCTATTTCTACCTGCAATCGGTCCCAAATGCTTCCTTACTCCAAAACCTCAAACAACACATAAAAAACCCTATCGCGATTACTGTAATAATAAAAATTAGGGTTTCGACAACATACTTTTTGATTCGACTGCAGCAACAAACAAACAAACTTCGCTTTAGAAACGCCTTCTGAAATGCAGCAACAATTACTCTTCAATTTCAAAAACTCGTCCGTTCTATCTTTTTTCAGAGGATATTTAGCTATGGCCTTTATATTTTCATCGGATATGTTATTTATATTTAATCGATACAAATACAAAAGTGTCGATACTTTTATGTCAGGTGTCGATACTTTCGAAAGGATAATTACCTATTTCTTTGAAAGTGTCGATAATTTATTACACGTACTTACGAAAGTATCGACACTTTCAATATATCCGGTATCATTTTACCGGTTTATCATTTTGATACCGGTTTTATCATATTTTTACCTGTTATATCGTTGTGGATCGATATATTTTTTTAAAGTATCGACACATTATAGGCGCTATAACTGCTTCTCTTTTAAATTCACAAAGTGTCGATCCTTATATAACGTATCGACACTTTTAAATTTACCGGTTTTATCATTTTGTTACCGGTTTTATCATATTTTTACCTGGTATATCGTTTTGGATCGATATATTTTTTAAAAGTATCGACACTTTTTAGGATTTATAACTGCTTTTAAAGTTATGTAATTTATGTTTCAATTTATTTAATAGTGTTTCATGTTTTCCACCTACAATATTAATTTAATAATTTAATTTACACAAAATTTTATTTGATTGTTTTGATATTTTATAAAATATTATTTAGAATTTAAATTTAACAATATTAACCAAATATAATAATAAATATGTTTTTGAACAGTGAAATAAATATGAACACTTTTATAAAAATGATATATACTTTTTTGAAAGTTATGTAATTTATGTTTCAATTTTTTTTTAATAGTGTTTCATATTTTCCACCTACAATATTAATTTAATAATTTCATTTACACAAAAAATTATTTGATTGTTTTGATATTTTATAAAATATTATTTAGATTTTAAATTTAACAATATTAACTAAAGATAATAATAAATATATTTTCACAGTGAAATAAGTATGGACACTTTTATAAAAAGGATAGATAATTTACAATATAACAGGTAAAAATATGACAAAACCAGATTCATTATGACAAAGCCGGTAAAATTTACTTAATATGTTAAAAGTATGGACACTTTTATAAAAAGGATAGATACTTACCGATAACCAAAGTTTACCGGTTACCAAATTTTTTAATAGTTTTTCATATTTTCTACCTAAAACATTATTAGTTGTCAACATAATAGGTACCGCTAAACCGAATTTATTAAATACATTTTAATGTATCCGGTAATGCTGTATATTAACCGTATATTAACCCGCCTTTCCTGAGACATTCCCCATAAATAGACTTATCGATGTTTGGATTATTCGTCTTAAACATAGATTTTATAATTTCCAATTGATTTCAATTCATATATGATTTAAGTTTGAGGTTACGAGATTTCTAAGACATAAAAGAAAGGGAAAATGCTAACTTTGAGTGTTAATAAGCAGAAGACTTGCTTAGTTTCTATGATGCTGTCGGTGGTCTGATCATCACGTAACTGTTCACTCTTAAAGATGAAAACTTTAATCAAAAGTTTCGCAAAACCCCACTTCACCTAAATGGTCCCATTTTTTAGTCCCCCTAATTCCTTAAACGTGAAAAAGAAGGAATTTTCTGTGTTTTCCCATGCACGAGAATAAAGATTTAAACTTTAACTATTGGTTTATTTTTTTTTTTGGAAGGGGCCTCATTAGTAAAAAGATCACAGTTTTCCATAATCAAAGCTAGGTGTCCATGTGAGACGCCATAAATAAGGCCTGTAAGTGAGAGAAAGAGAGAGCGATTCATGTCATGTTGGGTGCTTGAGTTGCGCTGCTTCACTTTTTCTGTTGGTTAGATTTTGTTTTGGCGTTTGCTTATTTGAGTGGTGCTCACCATCAATGCCAATCAAAGCCAACAAAGAAGAAAACAAATTGAAGAAAGTGGTCATTTTGGAGATCTGTGTTTTTCAGCTTTAAGGGGAAAAAATGATGAGGTTTAATTGTCATCGGCCTCTTAGAAGAGAAGCAATTGCTGGGTTATTTCTGTTGCTTTTCCCAGTTCTTTTCCCTTGTTTGTTTACTCCATTCGCCCATTCTTCCCCTTCTACATTCTCGGTATGTTCATGCATGTTTCCCTCTCCTTCACTGAGTTATCTTTGTTCAATTGAGAAATACTCATGGAAATGAGAAAATGGGATGGTTTGTTCAATGAAAAAAGTTGCAGTTACTAAAAATAGAAAGGATCAGTTCTGAGTTTATTTTACATAAGTGGCAAGATTATGTAGCTAAATTGTCTAATAATCAGATTGCTTTACTCAAAATTATGTCAATCTGGGACTTCTGTCTTAGTAAGATATAGTTAATTGCTGTAATTGGAAAATGCAAGTGCTGGCCAATAATTCATCTGTTCTTCCATTCTTGTAAACTTTGGCTTTGCTAGTAGTTTTCCAATACTTTTCGGTTAATTAAACATATTTTCCCCCCAAAATTTACAAAAAATAGCAATGTTAGTGGTAACAGTTAGACTAATTCTCTGTTATCCAATTGGTAATGGGTTTTGGTTCATGGAACTGAGATTGGAACCTTTTACAATAGGCCAGGAAATAAGGTAAAGTCATCACTGTAGTGATTTCTGCTGAGTGCTGACTGTTTAGTGTTAGCATGATAAATGCTCATAATTTGCTTTTCGGGAAGGAAATCGACTTATTGTGCCCTTCGACGCTTGTTTCAGGAATGGAATGTTCCTAAACCTCGACATTTATCTTTACTCAGGAGTGCCTTAGAACGTGAAAATGTGAGTTGATGTTCGCTAAGCAGGCATATGTGTACGCTAAGCAGGCATATGTGTACGCTCGTGTGCCTGCACATGCATATGTTGTGATTTTTTTTTCAGTGTATTCTGGCTTGTAATTTTGTCGTTTGATTTACTTCAGTCCAACGGAGAGAAGTCTGATCTCTGGACTCCTTTGGCCGACCAAGGGTGGAAACCGTTTCTTGAATCCGTAAATGCCCCCCGTGAGTGATCTGTAATGGGATTTCTAGTTTCTCGGTTTCTCTTGGTTGTTGGTGTTTCGAGCTATGAGACATTGAGACTCTAGTTTGGTATTAATGATTCTAAACTATTATTTGTGATCACGATATTTAATTTTTCTTCGATTTCTCTTTTTGATTGCTTTTAGCAGCATTGCCACAGAAATCTGAAGGATATCTTCAGGTATTTCTTGATGGTGGACTCAACCAGCAAAGAATGGGGGTAGGTACTCATTTGTAGTTTACATACTTTAGAATAGTTGAAATGTCGAGAAACATTCAGTAATTTCTAGTCCTCCTGCTTAAATATTTTAGTCACTTATTTGTTCCGAAACACCAATCCGATAATCAAATATTAAGTTTGGTTGTTTTAGATATGCGATGCTGTTGCGGTTGCTAAAATACTGAATGCAACACTTGTGATCCCACATCTTGAAATAAATCCCGTTTGGCAAGATTCAAGGTATCTTTTTTTGGAAGGCATTTATCTTTTCGGTTTCTTATTCCAAGTGGAATGTGAAGCTTTTGCCTCGATTTTAAGGAGGCATTTTTTTTTTCTGAAGTCATTATTTTTCCCTGCAGCTCATTCATGGATATATTTGATGTGGATCACTTTATTAATGTATTGAAGGATGATGTTTCAATCGTCAATGAGTTGCCGGATGAATTCTCTTGGAGCACAAGGGAGTATTATGCCACTGCTATTCGGGCCACCAGAATTAAAAGAGCACCTGTTCATGCATCTGTAAACTTTTATCTTGAGCATGTCTTACCTGTGTTACAGAGGTAGGTAGCATCTCGAAGTTTCGATTTGAATCTCCAGTTTGTTTCTTTTATAAGTTTCCGGCCTAAGGACTTTTGGACCATATTTTCGTTCCCGTTCCTGTCATGGGGCATTAAGAATAAACATGCACTTACATATTCTCTCCGTCTGTGTAATCTAATGAACTTGTCTTATTTTTGTATAGTTATGGGATTGCTGCGATTTCTCCATTCTCTCACCGGTTATCTTTTGACAACTTGCCGAGTGAGATCCAGAAACTACGTTGTAAAGTCAACTTTAAAGCTCTTGTGTTTGTTCCTCACATCAGAGAACTTGGAGATGCCATTGTCCATCGCCTCAGACATCCTTCTGGTGAAAGTGAAGCAGTTAGCAGTAACTATCTTGGGGAGACCACGGATCAATATGACAAGAAAAAGCCACAGAAATTTGTTGTGTTACATCTTCGGTTCGATAAGGTATAACCTTCTCGAATGTTGATTAATATACCTGTTTTTTAAGTTTTAACCCAGTGGCATTGGTTGTCGTACAGGATTTACTCGGAAATGCGGTTCAATATATTAAAAAATTGAAAGCATAAATTTTGCACTTTGCTGTATGTTTAAGCTCTGTTTTTCTTAATCTCTAGCTCTATTGGTTAAGATATATGTTTCATTTTTTAGACCTCGCACGCTATCTGCGTGAATTACTTATGCATGCAACTTCCAAGGGAGAAGTGAGATGGTTACCCTTTAGTCATTTTGACAAGTTTCGATGTTGGAGAACTAGTCAACATGTCATCAATCCCTTTCATTTTAATAGGTTATATACGTGATCGTCAACTTTTACTCCACCGGCTTACTCACTAGCCTTTTTATATGTACAGGATATGGCAGCCCATTCGGCCTGTGATTTTGGTGGGGGTAAAGCCGAAAAATTGGCTCTGGCCAAGTATCGACAAGCAATGTGGGGAGGGAGGGTTCTCAATTCTCAGTTTACCGATGAAGAGTTGAGAAGCCAGGGGCGATGTCCGTTGACTCCTGAAGAAATCGGACTGCTGCTAGCAGCTTTGGGTTTTGACAATTGTACCCGACTTTATCTTGCTTCACACAAGGTCCTTTGTAGTAATTTTAATTTTCCATCTCTGCTTCTTCAAATATAATCTTCAGTTTTCCTACAATCTATTCACCGAATGGCCGGTTAAGTTTCAGGTATACGGTGGGGAAGCTAGGATTTCCACCCTACGTGAGCTGTTTCCGTTGATGGAAAACAAAAAGAGGCTTGCCTCTTCAGAGGAAAGGGTTCGTATAAAAGGAAAGGCTTCTTTGTTAGCTGCGGTCGATTACTATATTGCTATGCATAGTGACATCTTCGTCTCTGCGTCTCCTGGGAACATGCACAATGCATTGGTGAGTTTTTCCGTCTAATGCATAGGCAACGGTGTATTTCTTTGTTGCAATCAAAATTACGATATTAAATTTCCAAACTATATTGTGCATGTGCAATGATTCTATAGTTTTTGTGATTCTGTGGCATATATTTCAACCATCGCAAATAGATGACGGTTGCACTGATGCAAACAGGTCGGACATCGAACTTTTGAGAACAAGAAGACCATAAGGCCAAATATGGCTTTGTTGGGCCAACTCTTTCTTAACAAAAACATTTCGTGGTCGGAGTTCCGTCAGTTAGTGGCGGAAGGGCACCAAAACAGACTAGGGCAACTCAGGTTAAGGAAACCAAAACAGTCCCTATATACATACCCGGCGCCTGATTGCATGTGCCGAGCTTAAGTCCCTAGAAGTCAGCTATCGTTATGCTAAAGGAAGTGAGACTACTTTCAATATCTTATTGATTTTATTACTGCAGCTAATATTTTCTGCTTTTGCTATTGATATCATGAATAAGCCGTCGGCCCGATTTCTTTCCCTTAGATATATGCATTACATTTAGTGTTCTTAGTAGATAACTGTTGTATCGTATCGACGGTGGTATTTCTATTGAGAATGGGGTTGTTGGCATCAAACTTATTGCGGATCCTATTTAGTATGGACCGTGGAGAGGAGTATGTAACATAAATTGTCGTCGGATCTCGGCTTTCTTTGTCGCATAGCTCTACCGGTGAAGCTGTCTGTACAACCTTTGTTTTATGTATTGGAATTACATCAAACGTCTATGTTTATGCAACAGACTTGTTGAGACTTCGAGAGGAAAAAGTTTAATTTTTATTTTTCACAAAGCAAACTATTCATCTGAGATATTGCTGCAGTCATGGAAGTTCTGCCAACATTCAATTCGACTGCCCAAGCCCATAATAACAATCATACTTTTAATGCAGCTTAAAAGCAAATTTAGAACAAAGGAACTGGCAAATATAGCCTGTTTAGTAACATCTCAGTCTTGTGAACCATGCAATACTTGCCTCAAATTGCCTTTCGAATTGAATGATTCTACAATCATCGCAAAAGTAATTAAAAAAACTGGGAAAAATGATCTATTACCATTTGTTTTCATATAAATGGATGCTATATTTTAAGCATGATAAAGAATGAGTGACCAGAAGATAATATACAGGAATGAGGCAATGTGATGAAAATCCAGCTCCATAGTGTAGGCGTCAGCAAGTGTTTAGACAATTCAAGTTGAAAACTCTGGGGATCGGTTGTTACCTTTAGAATACATCACTGGTTATCAGAGGTCTTTGGAGTGGATCATATCTGACCATCTTTCCTGTCCTCAGCATCCGTTTCCCTTCCGGCTTGCACAAGCCAGTTCTTTTACACCTGCCGCGGATGGAGTCAACCCTTCCTCGATAGGTAGTGTTCTCTTTGAGCCCTCTAATGCTACGCCGAGAACTATATTTTCTTCCAAGTCAGGTGTTGCTTTTGGTGGCTGAGAGACTGGCAGCTTCTCACCTTCCTGTTTTGATTGGAACTGTTCTCGTAATCCACCTGCTTTGTCAATTCCAGTTTCTGGTGAGGATACTGAAGGATTATCCAACTTGCTGTTCGGCCTAGCAATTTTCTGTTTCTTGTCAGTGATCTTTTCGAGCAGATTATCGGAGATTGTATCAGAACTTTTGGGTTGGGAGTAGATGTTTCTGCAGCTTTAGAACTTGTTTTGGGGGGCAGATTTTGATGGTGATTTCAAGGGCACTTCATCTTCTGTCCTGGGATCAGATGATGCCTTAAATTCCTCCTTGGTGTCAGAATTTGGAACTTCTCCAATATTGCCATCTGCTTTGGGTTCAACTGGCGGTGTTCCTTTGGGCTTGGAATCAGAATTTGGAATCATGCTTTGGTGTTGTTCCTGCTTTGTTGTCTGTGGTTTTACCTTCTTGTTCTCCGGCAGGACGCAATGAACGGCCTTTTGTTCTATCTTCACTGTTGATCTTGTAAGAGGGTTCAATCAGTAACAAAGGTCTGTTGGACGCCTCTCCACGGTTATACATTGAGTCTGCAAATGGTATATTTTCCAAGTCGGAATCACCATATAGTTTCTGCACAGTGCGAATTGGTGTGGCAAGCCTTGCATGGTGATGGCTGATGACTCTTAGGAGATCCAAAAGTATAGCTTCCTGCATCATCCACCAAAAAGACTTATAATGGATCCATTCTTATATATCAAACTTAACAGAAGATATTGTCGAAGACAGGAAATATAAATCAGCACAATCAAATAGATTCCTTTTAATCAGAAATCAAGAGAAGATATGAATGTTCACAATCAGCACCCTAATGCAGGCGTATACCAACAAAATAAAAGAAACCCAAGGATTAAACTACTGCTTGTGAAAGAGAAGATGATGGCTACGGATAGCATACTTAATTCAACACAAATTTGTCCTTAAATATTTATTTATATTAAATCTCTCAAAGTTGAATAGGGACTTATTTGAGCTGCTACTTATATAATTGATTATTTTAACGTTCTCACGGATCTTTATCAAGATTGAATTACCATTATAGCCAGCATTTAATGCTGCCAACTTCAAGTTGTAACATTTTCCTAAAATGCTGTGCTACTGCCTTTGTTACCGATGCACTAAACCACCATGGAATCCAATTGCCTTAGGCCATATTCATATTGAAAGGTATAAATTATAGCAGAGGACTCTTACCTTGACACATAGGTACTCTTCATGATGGGAAGTTTTTACAAAACATGACACTAGTATCTATCAAAATAAGAAAGAAAAGGGGAAAGAATAAGGCAAGATTATAGAGACAAAACTCGTACAACAACTAATGCATTGTATATGTCCGGTATCACAGCCAGTAATAAGGGTCATGTTTCTTCCTTTCACGCTTAGCAAAATCTTACAGATTTGTTCCTCGTTACCATTTACCAGAAAAGGGCATTCTGTAAACATGTTTACTGTATCTCTTGTACAAAAACTTTAAGAGAAAACAAACTAGAAATTGGAAGTTCTTGGATAATAAGGTGCTCTGAAATGCTTAAAGGAAAATATGTGGAACATGTCAATCATAAACAAGCAATCAAAATTAAGTACATACTAATGTAATCAAATTGAAAGATGTCATTTGGTTGGTTAGATTTGAGTGGAACAGGCATGATATTACACCACACACTTATATTACTAACATATAAAAAAGGACATTGGATGAGACACATTTTATTAGCGTCACTTGACAGATCTTATAATTTTTTTATCAAGTGATGGAAAAAAATAAAGGTTTTCTAAAGATACGAACCAAAAGATTCTGATTCTCGGGATTGATATTTTCCAAAAATACTCTTATGTGCAGTCTCTGCTGCTCAACCTGAGGATTCTTAGCCAAGACCTTGCGCATGTCAGCAACTATATTCTGCACAGACAAAAGCAATCCCAAAAGAACCATAAAAATGGAAATGGAAATTGAATGTCTCCCATAGGTGCAATAGAAGCTTTGACATGCTAAGTTAACTCCTTACATTAATCTTATGAACATCCATGTGACTGATGGCCAGGTGAGTTTTAATGCACCAATGAGTTTTCCGAGTGAGATTTCTCACAACATTTACGGTAAATTTGTGGTTTGGAATGTGAACTGCTTCATGATCTTCCCCTCTTATTATTGTTGGTGACCACCAACCAATATAGTAAATGTGAAAAAAGATGATGTAAGAAAATCCTCGGGATATTTTTTCAAGTGACTAAGGGAATTACGTAATGAAAACCCAATCATAATTTTGATATCTAATACCAGCACTACAACCATGAAGTGTGTATTTAAGTAATTGCTCCACCTTTTTCTCTAAACAAATCCAGAGACAAGGCTCAGATACAAACCTCAACAGTACCAGAAACTTCATATCCCTCTATCTTTGTTTGAATCCATTCATTCACAGCAAAAGGTCGAGTAGCATGAATCATTGCACCTGAAAGAAAATTTGTGAATATCTACAGAAACAAACAACAGAATATCAAGCATTGAGAAAATGTATATACTAAAACAGAATATCAACGCAGACATACATTCAATATATATATGCTGAAGTGCAATAACATAAAAATGTTATTTAGGTGAACCTCACAACCAGCAAGAGTCAGCAGAACTGTCCCTAGACCTCCAGCAGTTAGCCACTTCTGTGTAGAGAAACCCAGCAACTCCATGAACAATGAAACAGCAGCGACCCAAACTGCAGAGTATATAGCTTTCCCAGCAAACTGGAAACTCATCTGCTTAAAAAGTAAAGAGATCATGAATTAGTTAAAAGGGCAACACTTTGGTTAAGGGTGTCTTAGAAACAACCATAAAATTATGTAAATAAATAAAATTAATGAAAGAAAACTAATGTGTTTATTGGTATCTCTCTACTGTGAGGCATCAGTGTTGCACTTCACACACACTTCTATTTTTAGCAATAAACAATAGCAATTACATGAATATTAGCAATTAAAATCAATTGGTTTATGTTAGAGCAATGTCACCAACATTTCTTGTATCATTGGTCTGACTCATCTCCCATAAGAATTTCTGCATTTGCTGAACCGTGCTGCATAAAAGCATAAGCATGTTTAGTGGTCAACAAAACAAATATCACAGACAATTACAACTAGGAAAGCATTATCAACAATTAAAAGTCAATTTCAGTTGAACAAGCTTCTGAAACACTATAAATACAGGAAATCAAACCGTACTTCATATTACATCATTTTAAAGTCATTGACCATCCTCATCAAGAACCAAAAACGAAAAGGAGAATGAATGCTCACCTCGATAAGCAAAATGCGAAGGCCAACACAGTTGACAATGATCTTTCAAAATGTAAAAGCCTTTGCTTAACAACTTGGCTAGCTTCTGTAGAGAGAACTATGGATCCAGTATTCTGCAAGAAGTACACCAATAAAAGGCACGTGAGTTGAAGAACTGGAAAACAGATTTTGCATTTTATAACAGCAAAATATAGAACACCTTTTACATTCAATATATATATATAAAACATTTTGGAACCTGCCCATGAGTATTGCTCCGGTCCACAGCAGCAAAGGTTGAACATAAGAAGTTGTAACATAATGTGTTCTGCTCTTCTTCCAACTATTATCACTTTTCTGCAGGTAATCATAGAATATAACAGAGCCCACAGGAACATGCTTACATGGAGAATTAGGCTTCTACTCCGTTGAATAAGTGGATTGACACCACATAGGGCAAAAATTATAATAGTAACTGCTGGAATCAACTTAAGTACAATGGGACTAGCTTGTAAGTTATTGTATGACCTGAAATACAAAGAGCTAAATCTTAAATGCATAAAAAATTTGCAGTCACTAAACATAAAGACAATAACCACAGAAGCAGTACTGTTTTAAGGAAATAAACTCCTATAAGAAACATGAAACCATGAGTAAAACAAATGATCTAAAGCAGAAAAAGCAATTTCTCTTAAATAACAGTTATAGACAAGTGTTAGAACTTGAACCTAAATGAAAAGTTAATACTAGAAATGACGAACTAATTAGAGAACACATTTTCAGTACGAAAATGATCACACGTCAATCTTGAGGTTCTGATATGCCTGCACGGTTAAACTGATGACCGTGCAGGGGAGAAAGCGGACCTTGTCAATGCAATAGATGAAGCTTTTACACCAGGTAGTTCAAGTATTTGGGGAGGTACTCCAAAAGCATGACACCTAAAGGCATTGTCTGTGTATGGAAGAGAATGCATTGGCTTGTACAAATTGTTGGAGAGGCGACTTCTCCAGGCATCCTGTTGCACAAACTATGGCAAGAAGAGAAGAAAAAAATATATCCCCAAACATCACTTAAAGAACATAAATTCACCTAATACTAATAAATGAAAGAATCTCTTGATAGTTTATAGTTCAAAGTTCAATTGCAATTGGATAATAATCACTAATATGGGCAAAAGAATGAAGAAATTCAGCTTATCTGAATGCCATGTTTACATGAAATTTAAAAATAGAACATAAATCTAGCATTTAGATCCAGGCATCCAGCGTACTCAAGACAACATGTTACAATCACAGCATTGATATATTGAGCGGTTAAGCAATTGAAATAGACACATTTATTACAGCTTGCTAGTAGACATGAAAACAGGCATGGAAACTACAACTTCATGAAACAGTTACCATGCACTTCAAAATGGGGAATATCAAGAAGCAAAAGCTATCATATTTCTGTCACACGTGAAGAAAAAACATCCGTTTTAAATTTGCCCTACCATATCCTTAACGAACCACAAATAGCAAGACAAGAATGCTAAGAATACTTCAGCAGCAAAATCCAACAACTTATATTGAACATATGCATTCATTAATTAAGGTGACACCTTTTCTTGTTTTAGACAATTCAATGTCCATAATCACAGTTAACAAATAGCAGAAAATAGTATCCTAAACAAGAAGCACCGAAATCACACTGAAGGACGGGACGAGAGGTTGGAGCTTAACAAATCCAACTTCCCCCTTCCAAATGGAACCTGAAAACATAAAAGAGGGAAGAAAAAATTTCAATATACAAATAAAAATTTCAAAACAGAATGCAAAATGCTTTCTTAGACAGGGATGGGGAATCCTGTACCTTAAACTTTTTCTTGTATGCCTGGTTCTTGCAAAGTCCCAAATCATAGGACAATTGCAAAGAACCAGAAAGAGACATTGTTGAAGCTAAACCAGTGGATTGCAGGGCGTCACTAGTAGCATAAGATAATAATATATTCCAATGAAGGCTAAGCTTCAAACTCAGAACGGATATTATTAAAGTGAAACCCTTGTCCAAAATCTCACAATTCACCAGCCGGAGAAAATTAAAGCTTTGATGTGCCAACAGAAGATTAAAATATAATTTATAAGAACGATAAAAGTTTCCTGACAACTAGAATCGAAAATTTTATATATAAAAATTCATAATTCCACCAATCAGATATGAGATAATATAATTTTGAGCAGTATTTTGTGCTTCTGGGGGTAACACGAATTTACATATATAACAATCAGAAACAAATAAAAAACTCCATAGCAGGAAATGAAGAATCCACTAGAGAATAAGTAAACATAAATTGAAAATTTGAAAGGCCGATAATGATAGTTTACCCTGAAGCGGAGGTTTTCAAGTTTCGACAATATTTTCGCAGAAATTTCAAGATTGGCTCTTTCTGTAATATTTTTCTCCCCTGTGGGAGGCTTGTAGAAAGAGAAGGCACAAAGAAAGAGCGAACAAAGAATTCATTTTATTATCAAATAATATTGTGTGCTAAATTTAAAATTTTCTTTTATTTTGGTTAAAATATAAATTATTTTACAAACCTTCCTCGTTAATTAAATTATCATCTCAATTAATAAAAATGATTCATTTTAATATTTTTATGTCATCCAATCAATGATAATTTCCAATAAATTATTTATAAAAATAATATAAAATATGAGTACATATTGTAATTTAAAAATATATGAATAAAAAAATCATGTAAATATTTTTTATTGATTCAGACCACAATCAATATAATAAAAAGAATTTATAATATATATTTTTTAATTAAAAGTAATTAATATTTAATCTCATGGATTGTCGCGTTGGGTATTATTTTATAACCATAGGATATTCGATTTATTAATCGATTAATTTTAATCAGGTATTCGATTTATTAATATTAATCTATTAATTCTGATCGGTACTACAGAGGCTAATTCTGATCGAGTACTATAAAGGCTAATTCTGATCGGGCATTGTGGAGGCAAGCGCAACCTTCCTATTTGTTCTATTCGCAAACTCAAAATATATCATAAATTCTTTTATCAATAAATATAATTATAATATATAAATTAGATGATCTTTTATCAATAAAATTATTTTATATTTTTAAATATAACTAATATTTTTATTCAATGGAATAATTTTACAAAAATAAAAAATATATATACTACGTTAGTATTTAAACATGAACCGAGCTTGAAAATAGTATTTATAAAGTTGAAATTAAATTTTTTATGGTATGTACAATAAAATTAAGTTTCTTGTTTACTATTAATTTAATATTAAAACCAAGCCTTTTTTTCTTGGACATTGTTAGGTAATTAATAACAAATTGAGCAACCATACAATTTTATTTATTTAATAATAGAACAAAATTTTATCCAATTATTATTTAAGATTTATTAAATAAAAATTATCTATACATATTTTCAAATTAACAATTCGAGCTGTAGAGCTGACTCTAAAACTATTATCTGATTCAACAATGACTAATAGCTGAATTCGAATCAAATTTTGAAACTAGAATTGTTAGCACTTGTTAGCAAGGACAAGCACTCCAAAAATTGGCGTATGCCGCTAATAGTGGCGAGCACACAATATTCTTTAGTAAAAGGCGAAAGAATAATTCGCTATGTGCTCACCATACGGCTCCATGCCTTGGAAACCTGGTTTGCATTGGTTTATATAGTTGTAGTTTGAGCGTCAGCCTTTATGTTTTACCCGTGTGGGATTGAGCCGGTACCAAGACTGTTTCCAAGTTTTCATATCTTCCTATTTTATCTTTCATCTGGAATAAAGACGAATCAGGGTTGATGAAATCTGAGAAAAGATGGTTGCTTGAATACCATCATTCTCAAAACAATGAAGAAAAAAGGGACCTTCCCTCTCTGTATCGAGTGATGAACAATTGAACTAGCAGGAGATTTTGCCACTCTAAAACATGCTTTGCCGCTCACATTGTGTTCGACATCACCAACTTTCTCTCGTTTATTATGTGATCACTTTACGGAACATATTGATTACACGTTCATAGCTTTGCAAATGCGTATCAGCTTTTTCTTTGCTGCTTATGTCCTGAATGTACCAGGGTTTGCGACCTGGTTGATGCAAGATGGCCAGACCAGTGCTCGACTTTAGTGGTGGCTGAGTGAACATGAGAGTCCGAGATTATACATTGATAGTGTTGATATCATTTATAGACAGATCTCCAATTTAATCTCGAATCTTATCGTCCCGATTATATGAGCAATGATACCTATGATATTTAAGATTTTGCTTTTTTTGCCCAGGGAATAGGGGGGGGCACATATTAACTTCTAAATTTAATAGGAAGAATTTAAAACTATTATTTTATTTCTAACACTAATTTGCATGTTTGTGTTATGCGCATGATAATTGTATGTATAATTTACAATACGTGTAAAATTTAAAATTTTATGACCCGGATACAAATTAATGTTAAATTCCAGGACACAAAATGTAAAAAAAGTAGAAGAATGTCTATAGGTAATACATTGGTCAAGGTCCAAATAAGAATCCACCAGAAACGATTAAAATAGTGCTTCAGATGGTACCCTTCCAAAAAAAATAACTGAAATTACCTGTAATGGCTTATCAAAATGATTAGGGGCACCTAAATTTAATCTTCAAACACTTTGTTAAAAGCATTCTCCAGTTATTTGAAACCCATTTTTCTAAAAAGCTGTTCAGCCTTTAACAGGATGACAGATTATTACAGTATGCCACGTGGAGTTATACTACTGGCTGAAGCTTCAAATCTGTTTTTCTTTTTTTGAAGGTACATTGCCACTTTCATGGGTTATTTAGCATGTTCCCCTTCCCGATCACATTCCCATCGCCAAATACAGAGAAGAAAAAAAGAAAAAAAAACTAAGACCCCCTCCATGATCACATTCCTATAACCCAATACAGAGAAAATAAATTGAGGAATTGTGAAGATGTTGCAGAGAGCAGCTAATAATGCATATTCATGGTGGTGGGCTAGTCATATCAGAACAAAGCAGTCCAAATGGATGGAACAAAGCCTTCAAGGTACTTTATATTTTTTCCAACATGTTTGTTTTTGTTGGTTTTCTCGGATTTTTTATTTATGAATATGGTTTTCCAGTCTTTTCTTATAATGTTGTTGATGAAATTTTCTTTCGTTGTTAATACAAATCTATGGTTATTACGATTATTATTATGGCATAGCTTTGAGACACTCAAGTCTTTATTTGTATGATTGGAAGATTCTGAGGAAATGCAGATATGGAGGAAAAGGTGAAGGTTGTTCTTAAGCTGATCGAAGAAGATGGAGATTCGTTTGCGAGGAGAGCCGAAATGTACTACAAAAAGAGGCCCGAATTGATTAATTTTGTCGAAGAATCTTATAGGGCTTATCGAGCCTTAGCCGAAAGATATAATCACTTGTCCACAGATCTCCAAAATGCAAACAGCACCATCGCTTCCATTTTTCCAGAGCAGTTCCAGTTTGCAATGGAGTATGAAGATGAATCCGGATCACCAAAGTCCGCAAAGAAGTCGTGGGAGATCTCGAAAGGTGGTTACATCCCATATGTCCTTGACAACACGAAAGGCTTTGTTCCGCATATCGCCGAGAACTCGAAAGGCGATGTCCCTACCGTTCCCAAGGTTCCGAAGCCTACCGTTGGAGATGTGAAGGGCTTGGCAGCATCAGGCATCAAGAGAAAACAACAAAAGATCATATCACCAAAAGGGAGTATTCATTGGATTCCAAAATCTGGTTTGAGTATACATGAAGGACTTGATGCGATTCATAGACTTCAGAAACGGATCCTGGAGTTGCAGACCGAGAAAGAGTTCGCTCGAAGCACGCATGAGTGTGCAATGGTGAAGTATTGGGAATTAGATAATGAGATTCAAGAGATTCACGAGCAACTTTGTAGTTTGGAAGACGAGTTTGGTGAAGGTCAGGCGATTGCGGATGACGAGGCTCGAATCGTGATGGAAGTGACTGCTTTGAAATCTTGCAGAGATACATTGGCTCAACTGGAGGACAAACAGGTGAGATCCGCCAAGGAAGCTCAAGTTGAGAAGAAAAGGATTGTTGTTTCTAGGAAAAAATTGGATGCCTTGAAGAAGTTACAGCTCAATCAAGAAAAGTTTAAAAGATTAGAACAAGAAACGGGTGAAAATGATGATGTCCAAAAGAGGAAGGAAATAGAATCTCTGAGGGAAAAGATCAAGCAACAGTTTGAGGTTTTCTTCAGTGGATCTTTGAGTGTGACAGAGATGGCAGAGAAGATCGATGAACTTGTGAAAAATGTGATCAACTTAAAAAGTGCAGTCGCATCTCAGTCACTTCTCGTCGTGAGACTACGAACTGAGATTGATATACTTCAATCTCGGATCGAGGTGTTGGAAGATGATAAGGACACATTGATTGATGGGAAAAATGATGTGAAGAAGAAGATAAGGGAGATGGAGGAGAAGTTGAATGAGATTCTGGAATTGAGCCAGAGTTTTGAAGATCAAAACAACAGTCTCCAAACCCATTTCACTGAAGCACATTGTAGTCTTGATCACCTATCCGAAAAAGTTCTTAGTATCAAAGAGAAGTTCGAAAAAGACCAGAGCTCATCCATGGCATTCGAATCATCCAATGAGAAGGCGATCAAAGGTGGTGAAAAGAAGTTGAAGATGGTAAAAGCAGGCATGGAGCTTAAAGAGAATTCTCTAGCAAACGTTGAATCCGAAAAAGAGTCTGCCGAGGAAGAAAACAACAATGGAAGCAAAGATCTTCAGGCTGCAAAACCAGGGATTGTCATGATGTCAACTTCATTACCAAAAGACTCACAAGAGACCAGAGAAAAACTCGATCACAATGATGGCTTTACGAACTGCGGCAATGAGAAATTAGAAGGGAATGACAACAATAACCTCGACCTGAAAGAGCATGAATCTGTTGCTACTTCTACAAATGAAGGAGGGGTTATTAGCCATGAAAATTCGAAACCTTCAGAAAAACGTGAAGACCTCAAAGCAGTGGGCAACGTTGATCCAGGTGCTTGTTTGCCAGGAGCGAACAACATCGACAAGCTCGGATCAAAAGAACATAAAATGGAAGACAAAGAGAAGAATTTGTTGATGGAATACAGTTTAATGCTTAGGAATAAGGATACGGAGAAGAAGCTCAAGGAAGTCAAGGCAAATAACCAGGGAGGGATGCTTGAGATGATGTCGCAGTTGAAAGAACTTAATAAGAGTAATGCCATGAAAGATGAATTGATTCGATCCTTACAAGAGAAACTAAGCCTTCTTCAAACAGGCCTTGGAGAAAACAACAATGCTGATCAAAATGTTGAACCAAGAACAGTGATTTCTGAGAAAACATTAATTATTGAAACTCGGGATGCAGAGAAAGAAGTAAAAGAAGACTTCGATTCCATGATAGAAATCGAAAAGTCTAGAACTACCTCAGAAATCGAAAACAATTCCCGAGCGGACATCGATGAACTTCTGGAAGAGAACTTGGATTTCTGGTGCAGATTCAGCACTACATTCCAAGAGGTAAACATGTTCAGAACTCGAGTGAAAATTTATCCTTCGAGGTTTCGAAGATCGAAGCAAAACGAAAGCAATACGGAAGTATCAGTTCCAAAGATACACTGCAATCCGATGTGAAACAATTGTCCGAACATCTGAGACAAGTGCACGATGAACTGACTGTCTGGACGGAGAAAGACGAATCGCTAAGAGAAGAACTGAAGGAGAGATTTTCGTCTTTGTGCGAGCTTCAAGAAGAAATAACAATGGCCTTGACAGCAAGTGCTGAAGATGATGAATTCAAGTTCAGAAGTGACCAAGCAGCGAGATTCCAGGGCGAGATCCTGAACATGAAACAAGAGAACATCAGAGTTGCAAATGAACTGGAAGCTGGTTTGGATAATGTAACAAGATTGCAGCTTGAAATTACTAGGAACCAGGCAAAATTGAGTGGAGACGAGGGACTTTCCGGGTCTAAAAAGTGTCGAAGCGGCGGCAGAGTGCATCGCTCCGACAGTAGGTCCGGAAAGGTTCCTCTGAGCGCATTCATCTTCGGCGGCAAATCGAAGAAGCAAAAGTCTTCGATTTTGCGTCGGATGAATACTCGGATGACCACTGTTTTACTAAGATCTGCGCATAGTAGCAAATTCTAGCATTAAGTAAACTGATCACTTGGTTGTTTCATTCATGCTTGTTTTGTTTTATACTATTTTAGTTCATTATTTATTTTATTAATTCTAGTTTGTTTCTTTCCTTCAACTGACTTTAAAACATCAAACTTTTTTAAAAAACCAACGGGACCTCAAATCATTTTTACATTCCATGTAATCCTATTCAGGAAAAAAAAATTTAACTTATTGACCAACGACGTTGATTGTTACAATACTTATATAATAGTCCACAATGATTGGTGTGGTGGTTCACGATGGCTAATGTCATGATAAATATGTTAAATTAATTTTTATGATTGAATTTGAGGATCAATTTTTTTTAAAGTTCGGGAACTTATTTAATATTTTAAAAAATAAAAGTTATTTTAGAATTTAAATTTAAAATTCAAAATATAAAAATATTCAAAAAATCAAATATAAAGATAAAAATTAATTTAAAACAATTAATATAT